TAGTAATATTGGAATAAAAAGGCCTTTAATTTGGGGTGCCCAATTTTCTTCAATATTTATGAATATTGTATTAATTTCCTAGTACTCCATAGTGTTATACATATATTCAAATTATTAGTCCTATTTAAATAAATAGTATTAGTTACTTCTTAGAGTGTGATTCGAATTAGAGTGATATTCGCATGTCTCTTTATAGGTTATAGAATTGAATTTTGGATAAGACGGTGAGTCACTACTAATTAATGGAATTGATTAAAAGGTTTTAAAATAATTATTACAATAATATGGAGCAGTTTTTCACCAATAATAGGGTGACATTATTGTGTTTCATAATTGTGTTTTACTGTATAAAACGATAGATGACTAAGGTTTTTGAAAGGACTAAAAATACACCTAAGTTTCATATTTATAAGCAAATATATTCTTATTCTCTTTAAATAAATGAATAAAATTAAAAAATCGAGATTAAATTAATAATTATATTGAATTCAGAAAATGAAAAATAATTTTGTTTTGAATGAAAAATAGAAAAAATCAAAAAATCATTTTTTCTTCAATGCTCCCTGACTATTTAATTCAAAATTCAATATTGCTAACTTAAAAGGAAGCATTGAACACAAAATGATTTTTTTTTTATTTAAACACATTTTTATTACTTCACAACAATAATCAAACTTATATATTAAAGTTTTAATAATGATGTGAGATTATAGTATTTGTACAAAGGATATTTTGACACAAACTTTTTCTCTCTCCAGGGTTACCATCGGGTAACTCTTAGCGTTTTTTGCCCGCCATCAACTTAGTCGAGAGGTGGGGCTGTGGTTTTCTGTCGATTTGTGGATCCTCGGTAGTTCGTTTTTGGAATTTCGGCTTTGGGAAGGGATCCGATAGCGAGAGAATTGGATTTGATGGATTTGGTGCTGAGACGGGCAGTGGCTGCTCCGGGGCTTCGAACTGCGGCTGGATCGAATGGGCTTTGAACTGCGGCAAGGTTCTGGCAGAAGGTAAGGCAACAACCTTTGCATGGAAAGCTTTGTGGACAAGTACAAGAAGATGACGATTGGGACAGAGGAAGAAGACTTGAATCTTGACGAAGCTGATGTTGAGGATGTGCCGGACCTGCCGGTAAAGGAGAGCATTCCGGGGTTTCCGGGGTTTCTGGTGGTGGGAGTTTTGTTGACAGATAGGAAGGTCAAATTTCCAGCGTTTAAAGAGCTTATGTCCTCGCTTTGGAGGCCAGGGAAAGGAATTATGATTAAAGAAGTTGGCGGAAAAAGTATCTCTTTACGTTTTATCATGGTGTTGATATGAATCATGTGCTAGTTGGCGGTCCATGGCAATTTGAACGTAATTCATTACTTTTAAAAGAAGTTAAACAAGATGATATTCCGCATAAACTTGTGTTAAATGAGGCTCACTTTTGGGTTCAAGTAGGGGTGGGTTCGGTTCTCGCGGTTCGGTTTTGACCTAAAACTAAATATAGAACCAAAGTAAAAGTTCGGTTCGGTTTTACACTCCAAAACTTGGAACCATGGTTTGATTGGTTCGGTTTGTTTCGATTCAGTTTCGGTTTTTTCGGGTTTTTACGAAAAAATTATCATTTCATTTAAAATTGATATAATACTTTGAGGGATCAAACATATTACATAAAGAATGCAAGCACACTACAACAAATAAAATAAAAATAAAAATAAATATGTCTTGAATTATATGAGTATTAGGGCTGGGACCGGTTCGGTTCTTACTCAAAATGAGTGGAACCGTTATAAAAGTTTTAACTAATGAAATCGGTTCGGTTCCTATATAAAAAATCAAGAACCGTTATGGAACCGAACCGGTAGTAAACGGTTCGGTTCTTCCTTTTACCGGTTCCTAGAATAATTTTTTCTCGTCTAAGAATTAACACATAATTTTAAACACGTGGAAAATTCAAAACACGAGTATTAAAATTTTATTTGAAGCTCTAATCACTTCAAACATCAAAGTTCAAACTTAACTAATGAACTTTGAACACTTAATAGAACAAAAGTGTTTTAAATTTTCATGTAATAAATGAAACATTAAAAATCGTTGTAGTGTCGGAGCGATGAAGGTTACTCGTCATCATAGTAGCAAGAATAGGACGCCTACTTCATGTCGTTCAAAACATATAAAAAAAGACATTGAGTTTGCATGTATAGATATAAAAAAACATTATTACATTCTATTGATTTATAATAAATCTAATAATTAGAAATATCATGAAAATAGTAAAGTAAAATATGTGCAATCAACTACAAGTTATTTGGGTTATTTATATTTATAAAATTTATGTGATGGAACAAAACTTGATTTGTAGAAAGGAGTTTAATGTATTATATCAACCTCATGTACAATATTTATTACTTCTTTTCCGTTGATTAAATTAGAATTGTTAGTTAATTATCTTATATTGTTTTATTATTGTTGTTGTGGTGGTGATTATTATTGCTATTATATTATTATTATTATTGTTACTACTACTACTAATATTATTTTATTTTTTTATTTTTTTTAATAACGGTTCCTTAACGGTTCCATGCACATATTTTTTATAGGAACCGGGAACCGAACCGTTATAACCCGCTTCGGTTCGGTTCCTACAAATGAGGCATTAATTGTTAATGGTTCGGTTCCTAGATGTTGTTAACGGTTCGGTTCCAATCGGTTCTACGGTTCCCGGTTCCAAAATCCCACCCCTAATGAGTATGCGAGAGATATGTTGATATAAATAGATATGTCTTGATAAAAGTATATATATTATTAATTTACATTGTTTGTGACTAGTTAAAAAAAGTTCATGAGTATATACGTTCTATGTGATATAGTTGATTAGTTGAGATGAATATTTATTGTTTCATCAATGTGGATTCTTTAAGTTAAATAAAAATAAAAGTTAATGAATACTAATAAATAGTAAAAGCATATTATCATCATTCTGTATAGCTACATTATTACAGATAATGAATGTGTAAATGAATTTATAAACTAAACTAAACTAAACATAACACAAACATTATTTCTTTAAGAAAACCAAAGACTATTAATGATATTAGGATTATTTAGGATTAATGCTTAACAATTGACAAATAAATTTTATATTTTAATTAGTTTGGTTTGTTCGCTTCGGTTCGGTTTTGAAGGGTAAAAACCAAATCCGAACCAAACAACTACGGTTCGGTTCAGTCTTTTACGTTCAATTTCGGTTTGTTAGCGGTTCAGTTTTATTTGGCTACGGTTCGGTATAATTTGATTCAGTTTTCGGTTTTCGGTTTTTCGGACCCAGCCCTAGGTTCAAGTCCATAATGCACCCTACATACAGTCTAGAGAATTTAGGTAATGCAAGGCGGATTGGAAATTTTATTGAAAAATTTATAAGATATGATGATAATCCGAATAGTGAGAAGTGAGAGTCTTATATGAGAATCAGGGTGAGTATGAATGTGGAAAAAAGGTACCAATCTCAAGAAAGAAGGAAAAAGTTATTGGATGGAATTTAAGTATGAAAAGTTGTCCAACTGCTGTTTTATCTGTGGTTTGATTGGGCATTCAGACAAATTTTGTCCTCTGACCTATGAAAATTCGGGGTCCAGCTTAGGGCGGGCAGCGGGGTGAAAACTAGCCCAACATGAGGAAGTAAATGGCTGGTGGAGGGTTCATCGAGCTCTGACAGAGACCGCAAGAACATGTGGGATAATAAATCTAATGGTTGAATGGGAGGAGGGGGGAAGGAGCCTATCTCAGAGTTAGCATAGAGTACAACCAAAGGCGTGGAATTTGAAATAAAGGAGGAAGCACCGGGGGAACAAATCCGAAGAAGTATATGAGACTCTCAGGAAGAAGACAAGGTTGGGGAAGACAACGTCGCACTTGATGAGACAAAAAACGAGGAAGGGGCGGGCTTTGACTAGTAATGGTTCGTGCAGTTCGGCAGTCGGGAACAAAATTTTTATTTTATTGGTTTGAGTTTTGGAGATTAAAAAATAAAAATAAAGATAGAATCCATCAATCCTTCATGTCATTTTAATGCAGGTGACATAAAAGAAGTATTTCAAAACTTTTTTTTGGAAGTAAGCTTAAATTGAGAACACATCATTTGGATAGTAAGCAATCTGACAAAAAGATTTCTGACAACCGCCATCACTCAAACCAAACTCAGAGTTAATTTTGTACTACTCCATACTACATAATATTTACGACATAACCTTAAAAAAGTTTTCCCAAACAAAGTTATGTTAAATATACTATAGCTTAACAAATGAAACAATTTCTAAAACATACGAGTATGGTTGATAGTTTACAAAACATTATTACCTTTTCATCAAAGTTTATAAATTTGATCTTTTCAGATTTATAGTTTGTATTGAATAAAAGGAAAATGTGTAAATATATTCCCGATGTTTAGATTCGGGTGTAAATATGGGAAACAATTTTTTCCACCCTCTCAAATGAGGGTAATGTTCACCCCCTTCCAATTAGGCTGTCATGTGGCAAATTAATTCATTTTTTTTTCAATTTTTATAACTTTTTCATTTACAATTAATTATAGAAATTATATCAGTATTTTTAAATTTTTATGATCTTTCATATGGTACCAATATTCTATATTTTTAATTAAAAAAATCAAAAAGTAGCTAGTTAGGAAAAATTGTTTTTTATTTTTATTTTTTATATGCAATATTGGTACCATTGGAAAGAACATAAAAATATTTAATTTGATGTATACTGTTTTTATAAAAATTGGATTAGATAAAAAAAATTACTCGTATAACTTTAAAAAAGAAAAAGATTGAAATACTACATGGCAATCAAAGAATGAGAGATTGACCATCACCCTTTTTAAAGAGTGTGAACAAATAGATCCAAACACCCCTATATGACTGAAGTTCTACTAAGTTTTTTCCCCTCTTCAAAGATGGTGTGTCATTCTTTTGTTCTTCTTTATTCATCTACCGTCATGCATGCTTACAATTTGGTGTTTGAAAAGAATGTCAAAATTGGTGGCACTGAATAACTCAGGAATCTATAAAATGGCATTCATTCATAATAAAAGGAATAAGGAAATTGCCGGAACTAAATAATGCCTTCAAGATACAAGGAGTTGGAGGATGATGCCTTGAGCAAAAACATCATATTCACTAACCTTCTTAATAAAGAACATTTAAAAAGAAAAGAAAGAAGAGGAATATACAATTGAAACTACCAGCAGATGATGCACTGCAGCCAAACACGGCCAAGGCAATGAAATTTTGCAACTTGCAAGAGCTCCGCTCAACCATGGCGACATCCTAGATATGTACATACAGTCTGGTTCAGCATTGAACAGACAGAGATAGCCCCAATTTCTATTCCACAGAGAGGTTAGCAATTTGCTTACCAAAATCCACACTTTTGGAAAGCCGATGACTAGAATATGGTCTCTTTTTCAGTTGAGGAGGTGCTTGATGTTGTTGCTGACATAAAGCCCTCAATCGTCCCCTCTCTCTCTCTAGTACCTCCTGCTCCACTGCACATAGCATTCACAGTATATATTTCTGAATACTCTCCTAAATGAATTTAAAACTTTCCTTTTCCATTTGTCTCAAAATTGTCTTTCCATTTCTTTTTTAAGTGATGATTGTGCAGCTGCATTTTTTTCTTTTCCATTTGTCTCAAGATTGTCTTTCCAGTTCTTTTTTAAGTGGATGATTGTGCAGCTGCATTTTTCCCTCAGAAAATAATGTTATTGTTTTAATCTCTGTACCAGAAGCAGCTCTTAAAATCAAATAAGGACAGTTTAAATAATAAATACTCCGTAATTCTTTTTAAGGAACCCGTGTGGCACGCTTTAATGTGCTATATGAGGAAAAACAGTTATGTGGTCCATGTGGATTCCAGATGAGTCTAATGGGACCTACGTCACTTTAATTCTACATGTGGTAGAGTGGACACAGTTAAGTTTGCCGATATGGGCTCCCTAGAAGGACTCGAATAATGAAATTCAACTTTATGCTGCAAAATGTTCTCAAACCAGTCGTTGGCAATAAGAACACAGGCAAGGGATGATTCAAGCCGAATAAATCTTGTACTAATAATTATTTCAATTCGTAAAGGAGGGTCAAATGTCTTATATGTTATGGTAGAGTGATTGGAATGTGCAATAAATAGAACAACCATCAGAGAGTTGACATGGTATAAGTTAGGACAATAGATAATGGAACTTGACCAATTGTGCACAATTTAGGAGCATCATGTGCCTTATTGGGAACGTTTGAATCAAGTCAAATGACATTAGCTAGGTGTGTAATCAAGGTGATGTAACATATCCTACTTTGGCATAGGAAATTCTATCACCACAGCAGTGTATGTAATCATTGTCACGTTTGCATTCTTTAGCAAAGGACGCGCTAATACAACTACCTCTATTCCCCTCTTATTGCAACATTACATTTCTGTGAAAAAACTTTAGAATATTGTGAGTTTGGGATTGATAATTTGACAACAAAAGTTATATCGCAATATGTGAACCAAGTAGCTTAAAGAATATGTACACTGATATTTTGATCATTTTATGTTCTCTTAGGGTATGTTTGGTAGAGGGGTTTTGGACATTTGGAGGTGAGGGGGGTGGGGATGAGTTATTCTTCATTTTAAGGAAACAATAATTGACCTTGAGTTTTTTCTCTAAATAGTTGATATAAAATGATAAACTAGTATAAGTCAATGTCTTGGTCGTTTATTGATTACCATAAATTACTTACGGAGTATAATTTTCTGAATTTTAAAAAAGTAATACCACGCCCACCCAAAGAAACTAAAGATAAATAAAAACCCAACTCCCAAACATAGCCTTATTGACAATACTTCTATGGAGAGTCACCTTAGGTAATTTCACACAAATTGGGAACCACACAATCCCTAAAAACAAAAAACAACAGCAAATGGAGTAACTTACAATACTTTATAAGCTGTTCTTGAGCTAAGCTTTCTAACCGCTGCTTCAAAGCTTTGTTCTCCATGCTCAAGATGAGATTTTGCTGGTTCATGAATTCAAGCTGAGCAAAAGCTTCAGAACCTTCGGCCTATAATAAAAGAATGGAGTAGCACGAACACTTTCAAATACCAGAAAATTCTGTATCCTGAAACAATGAACATGCATGTAAAATCTCTAAAGGGAAGATGTTGTATGTACGTGCCTGTAGAGAGTGGACGATTCTTTCCAACTCAGCTATGTATTGCAGCTTTCGGACTCTGGAGCGTTGAGCGAACTGCCTGCATAACGTAGCATATCTTAAGTTGGTTGAAGTGCACAATTTTCATTTGCTGCAAACGTTCCTTATATTTTGTTCAAAAAGAAGAAGATTCTTTGAGAAATAACTGCATCGTGAGATAATGAAACTAGATTTAAAAAATCTTATCACATATGGTACCCAACATTCGTGTTTTGGACTTCTGGTGTGTGACTATTGATTGTTTGCCACTTTTGGTCCCAACTACTTATCCAGCTATAGTCTAAAACAAACCCCAAATTGTTAAGTGAGTGTGACACTGCGACTCTTAATCACTAGATGACTTGGATGATTTTAGTCTTCAAGTCTAAACATGAAGGTTGTATGTGGGTGTATCACATAGTAATGGTTTCTTGCCACCTTTGGTCATTCCGTCCACTTATCCAGCCAATAGTCTAATACCAACCAGAAATTGTAAACTGAGTGTCAACAATTCAGTCACTTGAGGATTCTAAGTTTCAAGTCTAAAAAACAGCACAGTGATGTTACAAACAAGAAGATAGTAAAAAGAATAGCACCAAAATCATATTGCAATTTAGCTAGGGGACATACTGTTTTACACGTTTTGTGTCTGTTTCTGAATCATAGATCTTTGCATTAGAAGAATCCTTTTCCGAAGAGCTATGCATATCACCTGGACGAGATTCGAGAACATCCCGGTTCACAATTGCAGGAGATTGTGCCCTCTCTCCGTTTTGTGGCGGATTTGAAGATTCTGATTTTTGAAGAGCAATGTTTTCTCTAGGTGAGGGAATACCACTGAGATGGCCAATTTTATTTGGAGCTATGTCTCTTGCCCTAGTCACAAGTATGCCTGAACCATATACATCTCGATGCAAATCAGGTTCTGTACTCACAGTAGGGACATTAAACATGTTGTTTCTGAGCTTGTCATGACCTTGAACTATGTAACCGGAGTTCACAAAGGAAGCAAACGAGTCACTAGATGAACGTCGGTGGCCTCCTTTAAGTACAGGGCTGTCCGGTTCATTAAGGAGGTCATCAAGCCATGATGGTTGTTCATCCATTAAAAAACTTTCAGACGAAGTACGCTGGTGGTGTGGATTTCCTTCTCTTGCTTTAGGTGTACCTTTTTGTAGAAATGTCGGGATAAATTCAATATAGGATGGAGATATGGAAGGATATGGACTTTTAGGGGGGAGTAATGAATTCTTCCCACTGCACAATATGTTTCCGGTTCTCAATGATCCTTTGGAGTTTGCCATTTTAAGGCACAAACCTATTACTGTAAGAAGTAGACACAGGTCAGAAGAGGAAAGATGCGTAGATCTCCCACAAAATAGCCCAGCAAAAAAGCAGAAAAAGGAAAACAAGGATATCATCATCATGATAGTAATTTAGTTGAATGAAACAAAAATAAATTTTAAAAACCTATCATGACAGTAATCTAAACTGATGACTCAGATTTACCTATAGTAATAAATAGATAGTAATTGAAATTACGGAATCTAGAAGAGATTATAGAAATCACACCACTCCCACCCCATCCTCAAGAAAACAAAAAAAATGACAGCAGAAGAATAAAATTAAGAAGATAAAATATCATAATAGATTCTTTCCTATTCATGATGTCTGCCTGTTTAAATTACAGCAATAAAAAGAAACATGAGTGGAAACCTCAAAGCTGAAGGAAACCAAAGTCATGCAAGAAGCATAAAACCGAAGAAGATCAATGATATTTCCCTTTGCACAAGCAAATCTATATCGTTTTCGAAAGTCAATGAAGTAGGAGGAGTTTCATCGGAATCAGGTTATGACCACTCCCCAAAAAAATTAACATTTAAACAAACCTTTCCACTTTCAACCACATTTTCTAACCAACCAAACTATTCAAACTTGATGAATACACAAACGAAGAAGCAAATACAACAGAGACTCGATGTTGGATAAAAATAGGCTAACCTCGTTGTGGTTGCGACCTCTACAGGCGATTGTAGGACTCAAAAAGGAAATCAAAACTAAATCCGAATGCTAAATTATGGTTTAGCTTCTCTCTTTGTTTCTTTTTAAGAAAAGAGTTTTTCCTCTGGGCGTTCTGTTGCGCCGTTGCGGTAAAGGGCTAGAGCAAAATATCGTTAAAAAAGAATTGTCAGTAATAAAGTTTTTTAATTAACTTTCAAAAAAAAGTTTTTTTTTTAAAAACAATTTTGCTATGGGTACCAAAAACTACCCATGTTTACCCCATATAAAAACCCTCCCCACTTTTTTCCTTCCCTTCCTCCCCCACTTTTTCGCGCAGCCTCATCCCTTCCCCTTTCTCTCTCTTTTCTCCATTTCTAGATCTCCCCTTCTTTAAGGTTTCTCATTTTTACATTTTTTTCCTCCTCCAACCTTCTTCTCCTGTTTCTCTCTTCTTCCACCTTTTTTTTCGTTTCAAATGGCGGAGCTACACTAGTCGGGCGAATGGGGAGAGCTTGGTGAACAAGAAGGAACGAAGAAGGTGTAGACCAAGAAGTTTGGAATGACTTGAGACCAAATTTTATTTTCTTGATTTCTTGTTCTTGATTTTGTTTTCTTGTTTTTTGGATGTGTTTTCAAAATGAAAAAGGATGTCTGTCTGACAGACAACTTGTAAGTGCAGTGTATGTAAAAGTCGTGAAGTTGTCTGTCTGTCTGTAATTGATGGTTAATTGTTCTTCATTTGTTTTGAGTTGTCTGTATGTAATTTGTGATGTTTATATTTTGAGATGTAATTAGTATAACGAGACAGACATTAAATATACACATACAAACAATAAGTATACACATACAGACATTACTTTATTGTGAATCACCATTTTGGCATATGTTTCATAAAAAAGACAGACAATAGAGATAACCAGACAGACATTATTTTTCACCACAAATTACATACAACTCACAATGAAATGACAAACAACTAAATATGAGTTACATACAACTTCTCGACTCTTACAGACACCTCACAACAACATGACAGACAACTCAAAACAAATACAAACAACTAATAAACAAATGACAAACAATTAAATATCAATTACAGACATTTAGTTTTCAAATGACAGACAATTTCACGACTCTTACAGACACTGCACTTACAAGTTGTCTGTCAGACAGACAACCCCTTTTATTTCGAAAATACATCAAAAATCAAGAAAACAAAATCAAGAAAAGAAGATCTATTGCTCAATCTATTCAAAGTTTCTTGGTATGCCTTCGTCATTGTCTTCCCTTGAGGTTGCATCCGAAACGGCAATCGGCGTAGGCCCACCGTCGGCAACCGGCATAGGGCCGCCGTCGGCAACGTCACCGGTGGAAGAGGAGAAAAGCAGGAGAAGATCGGAGGTTGAAGGGGGGAAAGATGGTAAAAATAGGAAGTTTTAAAGAAGGAGAAGTATCTTGAAATGGAGAAGAAAGGGGAAGGGGGTATGTGAAAAAAGAGGAGAGGGAGGGAGGAAGAGAGGTGGGGGTGCAGGAGAGAGAGGGAGGGAGGGGGGAGAAGAAAAGTGGGGGAGGGAGGGGAGGAAAAAAGTGGGGAGTTTTTTTTATACGGGGTAAACATGGGGTACCTTTTGGGGTACCCATAGCAAAATTGTTTTTTAAATTAGAGTATGGTGCTGGCCCTAACCGAAGGTCTTGTTTGAGCCGCGAGAGATTGTGGTGTGACGACAACGAGCAGTTGTTTAAGCACGAACGTTGAAGAGCGACGAGTTTGGCGAAGGTCGGAGTTTGGGCGGCCATGAATGAACAATCACAATGATACTGATGATTGGGCCTCCTCCTGAATCACCCTCATGGGTTGAACGAGGTGCTAGAGTTCGAGAAATTTATCCTATCAGATAATTTTATCTTCTTGTTTAAATTTTTGTTAAAGTTTATGTTGTTAGGTTTTTAATACAAATTAAAGTTATCCTTATACCCCTTCTTTATTTACTTATTTTACACTTTGTTTCTTTTTTACACTACACCTAGAGCCCGTTTGGTAACACTGTTTTTTGGTCTATCAAACGTATCAGTCAACTTTTTAACCAAACACGTAACTTTTGATTTCGCGCGCTAAATTGTGTAAAATTTAAAAAAAATAAGGTTGTAGTTACTTTTCTAGCTGCATTGGCTGAAGTTACTGTAGATGACTGTTTTAGCTATTTTTCATATAATTTTTTCAATATTTTATTAATAAAATATATTTTAAATATAATTTATTCGTTAATCAGCAGAAATAGCCAATACTGCCACTTCAGCCAGAATTTTAGAAATTTCAGCAGAATCAACCGATTAAACCGATTTTAGTGTTATCAAACGGGCTCCTAATCTACTTTTTGTAAGAGCATAATGGAAAAGTCAAAAGATAAAATTCTACTTTCTCAAAAACCGTAAAGTTAAACTAGGAACTTTATTTGGGATCGGAGGGAGTATGTTTTAATAAGTTTTGGGAAAAATAAAAATTACATTTACTTTTATTTTATATAACTACTACTGCTACGACTTTTAACATATGTACATTTATGCGAGTAAATACATATAAACTCATATATTTTTAGTATTAATATTTTAAATAGAGAAAAGGGGCAAATAAGGCCACGTACTAACAAAAAAAAGTCAAATAAAGTCTTATTTAGGAGGCTCTGTCCGGCCGTTGCCATTTGGAGTGGTTCCCGGTGGAATTTTTTGATGAAATTTTTTGAGAATCTTATTCATTAAGTCTAGTTTACTCATACCAAATTTCAGCTAAAACTTCAATCGGGAAGACATTCAAATGAATTCACCCCAAATGGCGACGGTCGGACACAGCCTCCTAAATAAGGCCTTATTCGACCTTTTTTGGTTAGTACATGGCCTTATTTGCCCCTTTTCCCTTTTAAATACAATTATTTTACTAGTTTTAAAAAACTACCACTATAAAATAGCAAAAACATGGCGGGTTGAGAAGTATCAGAATCACTATATGATTGGGAAGCTGTGCCAGACTGGGAACTCTCTTTTAAAAACGTCAGTTCTCTCAACAACCTCTCCTTCTCACTTTCAAAGGTTTTTCTTTCCTCTTCAAAACTTTTTCTTTGATTTTCTAAAGAAATGTGTAAGTTTTCAAATTTTCTGATTAGTGGAAGGATATAAGGTTCTTCTTCTCCCGACTGTGAGGTTGAGGGGGGTTCCTGATCCGACACAACTTCCTTCTCAGAAGGATATAAACTAACACTGTCATCAGATGAAAAAACAGGTACCTTTGTTTCATAACTCTTGTTTAAAACATCATAACTGAAAGGAACTTCAGCTCTAGAAGGGTTTGATCTCTTTGTATCTTCTTCTGTTGGTCCCGTTTCAGTTGGTAACAGTCTAGAGGGGGGGGGGGGGGTGAATAGTCTGTTATGCGTTTGAAATTTTTCTCTAAGTCAGAGTTGACTTATCAGAGAGGGTCGAGTTCTGATGATCAGAACTGGGTCTTGCAGCGGATAAGAGTTCCGGGTAGCCTCAAGAGAAACTAAGGCAAATGCCTTTCTGATAACTCTGAGAACAAGATCTGCTGAACACAGAGTCCAAGTTCTATGGAGTTAAACAGTTTAGTCCTAAGTGCAGAAATTAAAGTGCAGTAAAGTAAATGACACCGAGGGTTTTATAGTGGTTCAAGGAACAACACGTTCCTCTAGTCCACTGTTCCACTAAGCTTGTAAAAGTCACAGATTACACAGCCTTAGTTCCCTAGCACTTAAGAAGCACTCCACGTCTTCTTCAAGTCTAGATGTCTCCTAGGATGCAGTTCCTTGCTTCCTCTAAGACTGGTCCTTTCACTGAGCTTCCCGGAAGTATCACCACTTCACTGCTCCAGTTAATTGGACGCCCTTCTTTGCAGAAGATGTTCTGAAAAACAGAGTTTTCTCCAACTTGCTTCGTTACAAAAGATATGTAGTTGATGTTCTTGAAGATTGAAGAACAGGGTGAACTTTGCTCTTGGTTGGGTTTGAGAGATTTAAATATTTTATCTTCCCAACGTAAGCTTTTCCTTGTAGAGGAGTTTGAAGTTTTAATCTCAAGAGTTTAGCAGAAGATGATCGCAAAGTTGTCCGGTTGTTCTTCATGAGTATCCTTTTATACTGAGGTTGTCTGCCCGTTGGAGGAGGAGACAACTGCATTAATTGCGCGTACTGTGGAGTTGACCGGTTGGACCCGCAGAATTGGCAGGTTTCTATTTTTGTATAATATTCTCCAGGAATCTCGGTCAATCATCTGCAATTACTCCACAGCGTATCAGGCTCATTAAATGAGCATTAAATGCTTTCCTTAGATGAAATCTCTTCTAACCGTTGGGGAATTTCCCGTTTGATATCCGGCCGTTGAAAGCAGTTTCGAGTTCTTCTAAGTGTTTATCCAGGTCTGATGAGATTCTCTGATGGCATTTTGACCTTGGTTTCTGATGAACTTAGATAGGGAACTCTGATACTTGTCTGATGTTGAGTTCTGATGAAGCTTTACATCGAACTCTGATGGTTCTCTGATGTTGTCTTCTGATGAGTCTCTGAAGAGCAACTCTGATTCCTTTCTGATGAGCAACTCTCATGACTTCCCGAGAGCAACTCTGAAAGCAGTTCTCATGGAGCAGCTCTGATCAGATCCACCAAGAGCAACTCTGACAGTCGATTATACTAGTACTTACAACTGAAAAATTCTAACACATAAAATCCAAATTGGGGTACCCTAAAATTCTAATCTAATTATCCTAGCATCATCAAAATCTAATTACATTTATTCCTTACATCTTCTTCAGCAGTTTCTTTTGCTCCGACAAAAGACATCAACTTGGTCAGTCCTAAACCAACATCATAACTGAAAGGAACTTCAGCTCTAGAAGGGTTTGATCTCTTTGTATCTTCTTCTTCAGCAGTTTCTTTTGCTCCGACAAAAGACATCAACTTGGTCAGTCCC